AAAAGCCTAAAGTCTAATCCATTATTGCGAACTGATGTTGAAAAAATAACAATGACCTTGGATTCCGTTTGTGGGACCTATAGCAGGTGGACTGACTACATTAAGTGCAATGCGCACCAATTGCGGAAACAAGAGTCTAAAGATGACGAAGATGAAATAATGTAAAAAATGGACCACAAGTTTACAAAGTCAACTTGAAAGTGTAAATTAAAGTCTGTGATGAAATAAACAAGTCAGTTGATGAATGGAGTAGTTTCGTTGCGGAAACCCCACTACAGAAAAAAATGAAAGACGTTATTGCAAGGATTGAAGAACGCGTGGGTCACTTGCATTCCAAAGTCAAGACAAAAATATCACCCTCCGAAGTCATGATAGATTTTCATAATTTTAGTTCGACTCATAGTTCCTGTTTCAAAATATGAGGAAATCATCATGTGTTTGGTATGCGGAACCACATGTCATAATATTAACATAACTTTGAAACTCACAGTTTTCCAAGTTCAAATAACAGCCTCGCAATAGGTCACTACTGACACTACAGGCTGGAGAGAAGCACAACAATTGGTGAACACATGTCGAAGGATGGTCGATACGTGTCGACGACAACTTGGGGAAATTCTACGCAAGTGACTGGGCGCAGGGGAGCGGAGCGAGCCTCCGAGGTCGAAGCGAGCGGACCGAGGTTTAACAAGCGATGCGAAGTTTAACGAGTGAAGCGAGTGGAAATTTGGTGCCCTACGCAAGTTAAAATCCCTGTACTCGCAATTTTTAGCAAAAATGTGCACAAATCGGCGTAATTTTTGACATAAGTGTTCTATTTTTGTAAATCATAATAGTACACACCTCTTTTGGAAACCAGCATTAGTTGAAAAGATTAGTGTGTTTTAAATAAAGTTGATCCATCCATCCACCCAACAAAGTCGATAACGTTAAAAATGGAACCATCAGATCGAACGGGGACAAGATTTATAATTTTAAAAGTAGAGCTGAATGTTTTAAAAATGGTCCAATTGTATATAGAATTAATATATTTAATCAAATTTTATCTTGGAAATATTTTATTAAACTTGGTTTTTAATCCTAATTCAAATTGTGTAAATAAGAGTAATGTAAACTAATTCAGTTTGGTTTAACAATTGTTGTAATTGACATGATAATTTATTAATTAGCTTACTGTTGATTGTCAAATCTTTTAAACATACAAAAAATACAAGTCATTACATTTTACGTTGTTTTTGAAGACCGCGAAAAACGTTGTGGTATACATACTTTTATAGTAATTTTCTCATACCGCACCTTGAATATTTCGACATATTATAAGACAATTCTAGCTTTTAAATACAAGCTTTGCTCCTTCGCCAGAAGATGGCAAACTGACTGAATACTGTTACAGGAGACCTTGGTAACATGACACGTCCACTAAGGTTACATAACACGCCCACTTTATTCGATTCATGAAATTCCTTCTTGGCTTCTCCGGGAAAACGCTTCAGTGTTGTGTCGACCTTTGTGTTCGATTTTTAATTCATCAGTTCGTGAAGGATTTGTTCCCTCAATATGGAAGGCAGCAAATATTACACCAGTTCAAAAATCTTCGCCTCCTAAAGATGTTGATTCTGACTTCAGACCAATCTCCCTCACACCAATTATCAGCAAGATTCTTGAATCCTTTCCCTACAAATGGCTACTTGACTCCGTCTCAAAAAAAATTGATTCCTTGCAATTTGGTTCGCTGAAGGGTTCAAGCACTAGTATGGCATTAATCTACATGCTACATAAATGGTTTGAAGCAGCTGACAAACAAGGCAACACTATACGGATTTGTTTACTTGATTTTGCCAAGGCGTTTGATAGATTAGATCATAACATTCTGTTGGAAAAATTGAAAGACATGGAAATTCATCCCGTGTTACTCAACTGGATCGCAAACTTCCTAACAGGCAGACAACAAAGAACCCGTGTTGGTCAGTTCTTTTCTGAGTGGAAGTTTTTAAACGCCGGCGTCCCACAAGGAACGAAGCTTGGCCCGCTATTATTTTTGATCATGATAAATGACTTGGCTGTAGTGGATGAAACTGTTAAATTTGTCGATGATACTAGCCTTTGGGAAATAATATCAAACAATTCCCCTTCCCAGTTACCCGCTAACATCATCAGCTGCTCTGAATGGTCATCAGACAATAATATGAAGTTAAACGTATCAAAGACCAAAGAATTGCGTGTCTGCTTTTCTAAGCTTACTCCATCGTTTGCCCCTATTACCATTCGCGGTCAAGAGGTCGACGTCGTTTCCGAGGCCAAACTATTGGGCGTTGTCCTTTCGGACGACCTCAAATGGAACTGCCATATTGACTACATTTGCAAGAAAGCCGCGAAGCGTTTGTACGGTCTGCGCCTTCTTAAAAGAAATGCTTTACCTTCTCATATTCTGATCTCAACCTATTGTACACATATTCGACCAATTGTCGAATATGCTTGTCAGGTGTGGCATTATGGCCTTCCTCATTACCTGAGTGATCAAGTTGAAAAAATACAAAAAAGGGCATTAAAAATTATTTTCCCTGGAACTATCTATGCTGAATGTTTGCTTAAAGCTAACTTGATGACTCTTTACGAACGTAGAACTGTCCTTTGCAAGCGACTTTTTTCGAAGATGTTGGAACCCACTCATAAACTGAATGCCTTAGTACCGCCTAAAAGTCTTCAAACTTATAATCTGAGGTCTTATCCCAACTTATTAGTACCTAGGTGTAGAACTGAACGTTTTCGAACAGTTTCATTCCTGCTGCGTCTCGTGCTTATAATAATAAGTAAACTTTAGATTATTATCGTTATTTTTATCTAACTTACCTATTTTTACCTGTAAATATAGAATAGATTAAATACCTATGTTCTTATACCCTGTAATTCCAAAGTAATTCAGTTGTTACTGCTAGTTTGGAAATTTATAATAATAATAATAAACCACCTCAATTATAGAGTTTTTTACACCCTCCGCTAAACCTAAATAGATGTCTGCGAAGGAGGCTCAGAAGATCTTTATTTGTTGCCGTAATGTCTCGGTGCATAAGTAGAACGAGCGAAAGTATAAAAGTACGGCAAAGTACCAAGTGTACATAAGCATATATCTACGTGCTTCCGAAGTTACAGAGGTGGATTTTTCTAGATTTTTCTGGGAAACGCCCACTTTATTAATTTATAAGCTTTATGGGGTGTAGCACTTCAATGAAAACACACTCACAATCTTAGCTTGCATATTCAAGGAACTAGGAGGCTAAAATGCAGCTAAAGTTTTGGCAGAATGTTCTAGTTTTTGTGATCTGCGTGCAGATATCTTGTTGGAGAACTAAAGAAGGTATTAGAAATATTGAAGGTACTAAAATTATTATATACAGGGTGCATCAAAAAAAGGTAATCGAATTTGAGCGCGCTATTGTATGTAAGTTACTCCGCGCATGATCAGTTATTTTCCCTAGTCGGAGAGATCAGGCTTGGTGACACGTTTTCCATTCCAAGTGGAGAACTAAATAAGCAAGTAGGAGTCCGATAAGAAATGTTAGTCAGAAATGCATATTTTCACCTCTGTGCCTAATTTAAGCAGCGCATAACAAAAGAAAAAGAAGAGACTTAAGTTGATGAAAATTAACTTCAATAAACTACGCACATATTCATTGTTACTATTGAGTAGGAATAAGTCTTAGCTAACTTATTCCTACTTAATAGTAACAATGAATATGTGCGTAGTTTATTGAAGTTAATTTTCATCAACTTAAGTCTCAAAGGGGGTTAATTTTCAATGGTTTTAGGGCTGTAATTGCATCACGATTACATGAGCAGTTTGAGTCCTGGCTGAATTTAGTCAGAGCTATATTTATAATCAACCCGGGCTGAAATGTCACGAAATAGGACAATAAGCCTGTCACGCTTCTTTGAAGCAATCAGACGCTGATTAGTCGACTATTTCACTTATGCGAGATTGTGGTTATAATGTGAAGTTAGACGCAAAATAAAGCCATTTTTAAACGGTTGTTTTTTTAGTCAGGGCTGAAATTATTTGCGATTACATGCTGCTGGGCTGAATTTCAGCCCGGGCTGAAATTTCAGCACGGGCAGCTCAAACCGGGCTAAAATTTCAGTCCGGGCTGAAACTCAGTCCAGGCTGGAATTTTAGTCATGTAATCGCTTGCTGTGATTAGGATTTTATCCTTAGGACGGGCTAAAATTTCAGCCCGGGCTGAAAACTCTCCATGTAATCAGCCCCTTAGACCCAATTCTCAATGGTCAAAATATGCGATTCTGATTAACATTTTTTATCGGATTCGTATTTGCTCATTTCCATTTGGCATGAAGAACATATCATGCATTCAACAGCTGAAAGCCTGATCTTTCCGAATATGAAAAAAATTCGTTCACACGATATTCAGATAGAGCAATAGCGCGCTGAAGTTCGATTACCTTTTCTGGTCCTGTATATATAAGGAGAAATGTTCTCGAGTGAGTATTTCATAATTTCCAGGTGGCGCGCAAGCAGAAAGTTGCCCGCCGCGGCTGAGTTTCGAACCCGCAACCTTTGAATTACTGGATCGATAACGAGAACATTTGAAGAAACACCACATAAGTTTATTATACAAAACTATTTACGTTTAGCAATAATTTCTATATTTAACTCTTGGTTTAGAAGTAATTTGTTCAAGTTCTAAAAAAATCACCTGCAGCTACCCTAAGAAAAGCCGTGTACATGATGTTATATATGGTCACGTGGTAGGACGAAATGAATGTAACACGAAACCTACAACTAACTTTACCGCTCCAAATGGATTTTGTGAGGTTGCTGAAAAATTAGAAGGAAAGGAAAATCCGGTAGCATCTTTAAATTCCCGTTTGCTGGCAAATCCTTCCCCATGCCAAGAGAAAGATACATACATCATCGTTAATTATTCATGTGAAGAGAGGCTAGTATTATGAGATCTTATTGCATGAGATCTTATTATATCCATGAGATCTTATTGCAAAAACTAAAACTAGTTGGAATCACAGGAAGTGCATTTCTATTACTCAAATCATACTTAACTGGTCGTACTCAAAGATGTGAAGTCAATGGATCTATTTCAGGGGAAAACGACGTCAAATGTGGTGTACCCCAGGGGTCTATATTGGGGCCACTATTCTTCTTACTCTATATTAATGATCTACCTGCATGTCTGAGTAAAACAAAACCACGGCTGTTTGCTGATGATACAAATATCACAGCAGCTGGAGAATGCTTAAGTGATCTTGAAGATGCAGTAAACTCAGATTTAGAAATGCTTCGTAAATGGCTCATGGCAAACAAACTGAGCTTGAATGTGGCGAAAACTGAATTTCAAATTATTGGTACTAAACAGATGCTGAAGAAAGCTTCTGTTCAGCAACTTAAAATTCACATTCAAAACATACCCATAAAGCAGGTTTTTCAATGTAAAACACTAGGTGTGACTGTTGATGAAAATTTGTGTTGGAAGAGCAATACAGATAATATATGTAAAAAGATATCATCTGGAATATACGCTCTTAAAAGCATTAAAGAATATGTTGATCAAAAAACACTCGTTTCCGTATACAATGCTATAATTCAACCATACTTTAGCTACTGTTGTGAAGTTTGGAATATATTTGGTGAAACGCAATCCACGCGTCTCCAAAAACTTCATAACAGAGCTGCTCGTGTAATAGCATGTGTGCCTAATGAGGTAGATCAACAAACTGTGCTAAATATATTAGGATGGGAACCACTCAAGGAACAAAGAGTGAAAGCAAAGGCAAAAATAATGTTTAAAACGCTAAATAACATGGGGCCAAATTGTCTCAAAGAATTATTTACTTTCAAAAAAGAAATATTAAACCGCAGTCTTCGTAACAGCTCAAGTACCATACGTTTGCCCAAGCCAAACACAAACAATATGAAAAAGAGTTTCATGTATGATGGAGCTTCCATATGGAACTCTCTTCCAAAAAATATAAGAGAAAGTAATTCGCTCTCAAGTTTTAAAAGAAAAATCGCTACCTATAGCTTATAAAGAAAACCACATCATTGTAAATAGCAAACTTTTTGTATATATTTTAATAATTTTATATTCTGCATGTTAATACTTCCTTATTATTTTACTTGTAACAATTTGTTAATGTTTTTTACACGCCCATTGTGGAAACCAGCTTCTGCTGACAATGTTAGCGTGGTTAAATAAAGTTTATCATCATCATCATTATCAGGTGAGTTGTAACAAATTAATCTATAAATTTATGCGAATATTTATTTATGCTAATTATTTTTGCCCCCCCCCGCCATATAAATAAAACCCTAGCGGCACCATTGTTGCTACCACTTCTACTCTTATTATAGATTGTAAGTCTAATCTTGTAAACCTAGTCCCCTAACTCTATAACTCTATTTCAATTTAAACTCTAATCTAAGAGTGCAAGAGTGTATAGGGCGAAAGCCCATAACGAGAGTAGTAATTCCGCTCGGGTATTTACACCTGCCTGCATGAATATGCGAAAAAGAAACCACAGCGGCAGTACAAGATCATCCTCCATTAGGTGATATCAGTGTTTTCTTCGTCTTCCGCATCCGCGGTACAAGCCAAGAGTGGAATGGTGTCTATTAAAGCTTATGATTAGCTGAGATAAAAAGTTTCTTTTTTATAATGTCATTTCAGGAGTTTTAATTAAGCCATTTTGATTTTATTAAGTTTTATAACTTTACAGAAGTTTAATATAACTTATGGTAATTTAATTAATTAAATTTCGTAAAGAAACGACGTAAAAGAAACAATTTTATATCCTCTCTTCATACTATGTAGGGTCATACTATGTTGTTTTACAATCAACAACCGAACCATATGTCATAATGGGATAGTCTTATTAAGCAGACAATGTATAAAATTAAACCTACTATTCTGTTTATTGGATTGTTTATTATATCATTTTATTCAAGAACTGTATGCATCGATTATATATACGCTTAATTTCCCTACTCCTCATCATTTGTTACTGATGGATGACCTTCAATATATGACCGATTTGATATATTTACTTGGCATAAACAGTTGATTTGTGCTCCATCAACCCTGACTATGACATTTTGAAATTAAATAGATCAATTATAAAGAACCGAAATGTTGATATCATGTATTAATTATGGTATAAAAAGGCTTTTAAAACTCTGCAAATGTATATTGGCAACACCTGGTATCCTGAAAACATCTATGCATCTACAATGTTCTCGCATGACTGGTAAAGTTTAGTATGTACTATCAAGAACATTTTGAACCGAACATATTTCAACAACAACATTATAACACTGAAATGATTCAACAAGAACATCATGCATAAAACTGAATATCATTTGTGAAGTTATGGCCGACATTAGTTTCTGCAAATTGAATATAGGCCTAGATTAGCCATTTTATTATTTTACCTATTTTTTCATTTACCATGATAACATGGCAATCACGATGTTTGAAAAGGCCAACCTCGTTCCCAACCTCTTCCTTCTTTTTGAGTAAAGACCCTGGCTGGGGCTGGTCACGTGTCACGCGGATTTCGTGTGGTAAATTAAAAATGTCATTAGGGTAGCGTGGGAGGGGAGCGCGCTTGTAAAATTACAGCTTTAAAAATTACAGCTTGTATAATTAAAGCACGCTTCGCTATAAAAGCACAACGAATAAGTGTAAAAATCTTCTAGACCGACCGACCGATTGATCGAGCAAACGATGTGGTTGTGAATTTTGTCAGTGTGAAAGTGTATCCTGTCTGATGCGTAAACTCAACAGATTTACCTTGCGTATAGAGATGTGGAACCTCTATAAAATAACGAGATCCTGTCATCTTTCCAACTGTGTGTAAATTCTAAACATGCTCCCCCGACTGTTAGAGCCCATTAAAGACTGTGATATATGCCGTTTTGGCATCGCTGAAACATCCCTGAGACTTCATGATCAAGAATTATGTTGAAGTGGCCACATAACACATTTGATATACGCATATGAAATGGCCACATTTGATATACGCATGAGTTTCCTCGACAATAGTGGCACAAAGTCCCACATGACTGAGCGTGTTCCAAATTAGTGTTGCCAACTGGTGTAATGACTGGAGGATGGACTTAAACCACACCAAGTGTGTAGTCATGCATTTCTCAAGAATTGCTCAACCGATGATCACACAGTACACACTATGAAACACTCCAGTCCTACAATAATCCAGTCAGAAAGATCTTGGCATACCTACCACTAACGACCTTAAATGGAACAAACAGGTGCAAGAGATATCGACTAAAGCAAATAAAATGTTAGGTTTCGTAAAGCGAACGGCGTTCGACATACGCCTGCGTAGAGTTCGTAAGGTACTTTATTTGACTATGGTTCGTAGTCAGCTGGCTTATGGTAGTCAGGTATGGGCACCCCAGACAGTAAACAACATCTTAACGGTTGAACGTGTGCAGCGACTTGCCACCAAATTTATTTTGTCATTGCCGAACCAAACCGATATATCATACCAGGAAAGATTGACCACCATTGGCATCATCCTTATATATTACTGGCACGAGTATTTAGATCTAGTGTATCTCTCTGACAGTAACATTTCTATCAAGATTCCTACTCGAGAAACACGAAGTACTAATGCAACCAATGGTATCTTACTTGAAGTAGCCAAGTTTCGTCAGAGTTTCGTCACGTAATTTTGGTTGCCGTGTGAGGCAAAGAAGGCGTACAGAAACGCGAGGTGTCAATTATAACAATCTAACCCGTATTAGATGCACAAATAATTATAATGAAAAAAACAAAAAACAAAATAAAGCTATACTCCCAAGAATTTGCTGCTTGAACGCACGCTCAATTAATGGAAAGGTTGATGAACTTGCAGCATTTATGTCCGTCAACAAAGTTCATATAGCCGCAATTACGGAGTCTTGGTTGACTGATGAGATAGGGGACGATCAAATATCGATTGGTGGTTATGTAATTCATCGTAAGGACCGGACACATGGCCGTGGGGGTGGGGTTTGCGTTTATGTGTCTCAGCAGATATCCATTACGCGATACTTGGAATTAGAAGATTTAAATCTAGAGTGTATGTGGTTGTGGGCTCGACCACCACGCCTACCGAGACCGCTATCTGCAATCGCAGTATGTGTAGTGTATAATCCACCGGACAAAAGTGTGCAAGAACAGAGGGAACTTTGCGATTACCTTGTGTCCTCTATTGATACTATACGCTCTAAATACCCTGATTGTGGCATAGTCGTTTTAGGCGATTTTAATCGTCTCAATATACAGGATTTAGTTACAAGTCACAACCTTAAGCAAGTCATCACGCGTCCGACTAGACAAGATTCAATCTTAAACTATATTATTACGAACTTGAAATCCTTTTACAAAACACCGGATATTTCTGCTCCACTTGGAACGTCGGACCATAACGTAATCATGTGGATCCCAAAAGACATTTTTAAGGATAATAATAATACGTGTACAAAGCGCACTGTGCGTCGGTATCCTCAGTCAGGTTTGAATGGTTTTGGTTTATGGTCAACCAGGAATAAATGGTTTAGTGGACTCGGACTCAATCCATCGTCGGATGAGTTAGCGTCATCATTTACCAATGATCTGAACACTGCATTCGATCATTTTTTTCCAGTGAACACAATCAAATTTCATCCCACGGACAAACCATGGATTACTGGGCACATAAAGCAACTTATTAAAGAACGCCAACGTGCTTTCCACACTGGCGACGCGCAATTGTGGCGCCATTACAGACGGAAGGTCCAGATAGAGATTAAAACTAGGAAAAATAATTTCTATACCCAAAAAATCCATAACTTGCGAAAAGACGATGTCCGTCAATGGTGGCACACTATTAACACAATGTCAGGTAGAGCGAAAAGTCAACCTAAGTTTACAATTGAGCGTGACGGACAGTTATTATCGGAAGGTGAACTGGCAGAGTCTCTAAATGATTATTTCGTAAGTGTAGCAAGTGATATCCCACCACTTGATATTTCAAGACTTCCAACATTCTTACCAGCTGCGGTGCCGCCTCCTACAATTCATCCTCATGAGGGTTGTAGTAAGCTCTTAAAACTTCAGACTAATAAGGCTATGGGCCCGGACAGTATTCCATCACGAATTTTAAAAGAGTTCGCCTACGAACTTGCTGAGCCAGTTACATCAATATTTAATACATCTTTGTCCTCTGGACTAGTGCCTGTTTTATGGAAAGATTCTACCATCATACCCATTCCTAAAGCGAAACAAACCCAGGTTGAGAGCGATACCCGCCCCATCGCACTTACCCCTGTGTTATCGAAAGTACTCGAAGACTTTGTGGTTAGTTGGATGGTTGAGGACATAGGTGGACAAATCGATAATCGTCAGTATGGCAGCCTGAAGGGAACATCTACCACCCTTTGCCTTCTAGATCTTATCAACAACTGGCTTTCTAAAATGGACAACCCAGGTCATTACCTTAGAGCATGCTTTCTGGACTTTAGCAAAGCTTTCGATAGAATAGACCACAATATTGTTATAACAAAATTGATCGATTTGGGAGT